AGAGAGAGAGAGAGAGAGAGAGAGAGAGAGAGAGAGAGAGAGAGAGAGAGAGAGAGAGAGAGAGAGAGAGAGAGAGAGTGTTTGCCTTCAGTGTGAGTACGTATGTAAATCCGAGTGTGTGTTTGCCTGTAAACTGACATTTCCTGTTGTCGTGACTTGCAGGGATTGCATTATGTAAAATTTGGTTTCCCTGGTGTACATCATCTTCTTCTTTTTATAATCCTCGATCTCTCATTTGAAGTTCATTTATTTCATTTTGCAATTGTATGTCATTGTACCATTAGATGTGTGAAAAAACCGATTCTAATCCTTGCTCTCGCCACTCAAGTTCAAAAAACTCACATGAGATACCATCAGACGTGTGAAAAAAAAAAACCAAAACACACACACACACACACACACACACACACATATATATATATATATATATATATATATATATATATATATCATTTGGTTGTCTGACGATTTTTTTCCGGCACTCACACACAGACAATCTCAAACACGCCCACACATGCATAAGAAGAGGGGGAGAGGTGACAGAGTCAAAACTACACACAGACAAGGATAAGCAGCGAGATTCAACCATGCACACATGGGGGAGGTCAGACAATGACTCTCACTCTCCGACAGACTCCCAACAAACAATCACATTAAAGAACCTCAGCAAGATCACAATTCATATGATGCTGATGATGAACCAACTCGAACGAATATCATAACAGAGTTTGTTCCAGTCCCTTGCTCCCCAATCGATTTCCCTCATTCTACTAATAGAGTACATTAATCTAACCTACACTTATACCGGACTGACTAACCGACCAACACCGTTGCAGTTTCGGCCTCTCGGCCTCTACCGAACCCGACTATAGGCTATAAAACCGTCTATCAGCTTAGGCCATTAGGACCTGTCTGTCCTGGGGGTAGTCCGGGCCTGCTATTCGCAGCAAGGGTACGTATAGGAAATTCGAAATACTGTTGAGTTTGTATTTCCTATATTTACAGATATGGCCGTCACGAATTTTCCTCACAGGTTCGTCTCACGATTAGCCCTCAGTCGAACAAAATTACAAATGTAACCATAGGGGTAGTATACAGCCTCGCCATCAGTCTTGGAAGTCAGACTGACCAAAAATAGAGATGTATATATAAGTAAAGAGACGGACATAATGTAGCGTAACAAACAAAACACCATGACATGTGTGTGAACAACGCCATGCACAATGAAATTCGGATGACCACACCGATGTCAGGTCAACGATAAAGCCATTCAACCAGTCAAACGCTGAACAACTCTATATCGTCACCCTCAGATTCGAAGCTCGATGTCTGGACCCAATCATCACATGCAGGCACCGCATCATCCTCCACGTGACTGATGATGAAAACACTGTTCTCCCCCACGGCCTCATGGTCGGAATCCGAGGCAGCATCATCAACGACTTCCCCTGGGTCGCCCTCACCTTTGACGAACAAATCACGCGGCAATGACCCGGCTTCATAAGGACAAACGTCATGCCGCAAAAGCTCTCGAGCCCAATCCGAAACATGAGCCGAACCGAACACTGACGCCGCCAATCTGTCCTCCCAACAGTCGATCGCCTCGTGACCGTAGTGTCGACGGAAGCCTGGTCTCGCACGTATGGAAGTGCCCGCAGCAATGCGAGCAACATACCCGACCGGGTCGCGCCAGCAGTGACTGTTCCAACGAATCACTGCGATCGACAAATGTGCACAGAAAGACTTCTCGAAATGCACCGACTTCTTCGCATAGATAATGATGGTGCCCTGAAAAGTCTCCACCGCTGATGTGTGTCGAAACTCGACGTAGTACGACGTGATGTTAGTTCTGCATTGTTTATCGAGAACACGCAGAACGAGCTCGTAGACCGTGTCCGTGCGGCTACACAAAGGCGATCGTGCACGCCCACCGTCCTTCTCGCAGAGAACCTCCCTACCGTCCACACATCCTGAATGATCACCAGCCCAATGATCGGCGACCAACATGATGTTGCGGTGTAGACTGTCGGCGTCTCCGCCCTCGTCCATGCACAGCTGGCAAGTGCGGAGGAACCACATTCCAACCTCATGCGCATGATACTCTGTCAAGCCGTCTGGATCAGTCTCCAACGCTCGAGGATTCAACCTCGATCCGTAGGGGTACATCTTTCGCATGACGACAACGACGAAGTCCGAGTTCTTCAGCCGCTCCTCAGCAGGTGTGAGGACGTCAGGTCCAAAACTCTGCTCCAACGTTTCCTTTAGCCGCTTCTTTGTGAACTGCATGAACTGCGCCTCTGATATACAGTCGTGCGGGCTGCTCATTTTCTTCGCTTCCTTCAGTTGCAGCATACTGTGGAAGTGCTTTCGAATGTTTTTTATTTTGTGGTGGCAATCCTTCTGCCACTCGATGTTCATAGCTCGCAACTTCGGTCCCAGCGCCGCACAATCATCCGAGACAACGCACCGGATCTTCAACCCCTTGTCCATCAACCCTCACAAAAGTTGCACGACGGCTGGCACCTCAAGTGCACTCGATGCCTTGCCTTCAATCTTCGGACGGAGAGTGTGAACACCTACAACAAGCCGAGTCTCGTACTCCATCGCGGTGACAGTGCAATGCTGCGCGCCTCTGGCAGAGTCATATCGACCATCAACCATCAATGTCACTGACTCACCATGGCGCATCACAGTGTCAATGGCAAGCTCGCAATATTTTATGCCCTGCCGTACGACCTTGGCATTCCACCCCTCTGCCCCCCCGGTTCAGTGCGCATAAACTTGTAAAATGTGGGTTTGTGCACCGAGCACATCCCTAAACAAACACAAAAGTTGTCGAGTAGCGTAAACGTAAGGCCGGCGGTGACCGTCGCATGAAAGAGCTGCTGCATCAGTCGCGACTGATAGACATTCGTGGTCACGAGTGTCGTGTGCCACGTCCATTTGGATTTCTTGTCGCATACGAACGTCAGCTTACAGAGCTGCGCAGGATACAAGACGGACTTTACAGACACACGGCACAAGCCCTTGTGCCACGGGCAATATAGATGAAACATGGCGAGCAATTGAAGAAGCTTAACCGGCTCCAGAAACACAACATCCGGCGCCGTCGGTCCACTCCATCTAGCCATCGCCTTCTCAATACCGGTACGGTCAATTTCAGGTACAGGACCGCACTGGTCAACACCGTCCCAACTATCCCACCACGTCTGCGGCCGGACAGGTGTCGGTATGCAATGATCCGCTCTGCGGGGTCTGCCGCGCCCTCTGTCACTGAGCTGCGATGCACGACGTGATGACGGGAACAAGTTCTGCGATCCGTCATGAGACTCACCCAAGCCTCCGCTCACTGAACCCTGCGAACCCCCCTGACCCACCGGAATCGCCTGGCATATAACGCAAAGTGAAATCTGACCGCACACCCGAGATGGCAACAAAGAAGAAATCACATCTCATACCTCGTCTTCAAACTCCGCTCGGATAGCTGGCAAGGACCAGTGCAACAGCCGATCAATAACGTCGCTGATCGGTCCGCGCTGGTCACCCAGATCGGCCATGGCGTCATGGAGAGCGTACAGCCGTCTCTGACACGCGTCCCGCACACAAATTCGAACGATGCTGTTGCCGCCCGAACACGGCGTGCCGCCGACTGCCGCTGAGCTATCCGCATCGTCAAACGGAGCTGTGGAATCTGGAGCGACAAAGGGAGCCTGAGGCGGCACCGCAAACGAACCCGCCGCCTCGTCGACATGAAACGGGTGGAGAACGCAAAGCGTCGCTGCGATCTCCTGGAAGAGAACCGCCTCCAGCAGGACATGGCGGGGCCACCGCATGTGACTATACAGGTGGCAAAGGAATCGTGGCCGCATAGTCCAGCCGTCTAGACAGCAGTGGGGATGGCAGCAACGGAGCACCATACACACCTCCAAACGTGGCCGCGTCACGGAACCCGTCCACACCCGGCAGAGATGCCCCCAGCACACCGGCGAAAGGCGAGATGGGTGTCACGCCCGGCCCAACAATGCTGTTAGTCACATGCGAAACGGTACCGCAGCGCCGTTTCCCCAACCGGACCTCTGGACCACCGCTGTGCGGTGAAACACCCAACAACCCCCGCGCTGCACATGGAGATCGATCGACGCTTTGGCGAGGATCGGGGGTCCCCTTTGGAGATCCCTCAATGGGCGATGATCGAGCGGGGACAGCGTCTCCGCCTGTCGGTGACATTCTCAATGTCAGGGTCTGCACAACACCGAGAGTCAGACAAGCACGAAGTAAGGAGTCAACGGAAAAGTGTGTGTGTGTGTGTGTG